TGTATTTCTGTCCGAAACACACCACTCTTTTACTTCTTTGGAATATTTTTGGAGTAACTATAAACGTTTTAGTCATTCCAAAAATCTTTAATCATTGAAAAATTTTAAATTAATCTATACGATTATTTTGTAATATGTCTTTTGCAACAGATTGTAAAACCTTTGACATAATTATTTTGCCAATGGGTAATGTCTTCTTCATTATTCAAAATCTTAATAGGATTTTAAGGACACTACATATTTACAACCCAATGTTCAAACTATGAATTTAAATTCAAATTCACATTGAATGTTTTTATCAACAGCGACAATTAGCCACATAATTTTTAACACGAAATCATTTAAAAATGATAACAAATGTAATGATTTTCTGAAAGATTATATAAAAATATAGGTAATACCAACTAGAAGTTTCAATGTCATCTAAACATCAATTCCTCTTTGATCCTTTTGTTTGCTAGCTCAGACTGTTGGCAATACTAAAGAGGATGTTCTTCTCTAGAGTTCACTGAATTCATTGAAATTGTTGAGAGACTACGAAAAAACTCGTGCAACTTTGTCTTTCACAACAGAAACACAGTAGGATGAAATAGTTGCATTAAAAATGGGTCAGTTCAAAGAACCATTCAAAAGGCTTTTAAAACCAAGTACCATGTGTACAATTATCAAGCTTCTATAACCGTATTAGATAGATTTCATTAGCACTTTCACCTTTTAATTCTAGTGTTCAACAAAGTGATTGAAGTTCTATATTTGATATTCTACATAGATCTTTTATCTCAGGAATATCCGTCATCACTGAGTCTGTTCTAATATTATGTTGAAAGCGACAGCTCAATATGCTTTTATTAGGATATTTATGTTCTGTTTTATGTTTACACAATATCTGCATCAAATCACACAAAATAATAACTAATAAGAAATGCCTGAAATATATGAAAGAAAATATGATTTCAGAGATTTTACAATGGGTCGATGTTAATATATATAACTCATGGATAAGTAAAAAAAAAAAAAAAACAAACATATATACGGATATATACAAAAAATATATAGGGAATATAAGTATTAGGGAAAACGCTTCTTCGGTTTGAACCAATCTTCTACATCTTTGAACAAATCGTCTTCTACTTTCCTCAACTGATCCTGGCTATTTTCTTCACGAACACCAGTTAAAAAATGATCAGCTTCATCCAAAAAGCGACTGAACAACTCTTTTGGTGAAGAAACCGCTTGGATCTAAAACAACCTTCTTTCGAATAATTTCAATTAAAATATTTTTAAAGGCTGCATTTCTATTGACTGCTCAATAATCACTAACTGCTCAGCTTCTTGCTCAGTTCTTTTCTGTTCCAGTTCCAGAACAGCTAATTACTATTTTAACAGTTTATGTTATTTATAATCATTTTCTGAAATGTAATCTCCAATCTTCACTTCCTGAAATCACACTTGATAGCCCCACTTTGGCTAAAGATTCGGCGTTATAAGATTTGATTAAAACTTTACTTGACGATTTTGATCCAGGTAGATACCAACATAAACTCCAACAGCAAAGGATGCCTGAAAATCTTTGGATATCAATTCCCACATTTACATGCTAAAGTAATGCGGGCAAAATGACTAAATTCCAAACCGCCTTCCAGTGTAAATATGGAATGTATAGAAAAAAAAGACTTACAAGATGTTTCAACATAATCCAAAACGGAACGCAACTATATTAAACAAAAACAGAAATCTGACAGTGACCTAAAAAATATAAAAGAAAAAGCAAAGTGCACCCAGCAGAATTAGCATACATCATCTACGAATTTCAATCGATTTCGAAAATACCACAATTTGCTACTGAAGTTACATGATTAAGATCTCTAAAATCCGCCCGATATAATATTAAAATCCTCAAACAGCCATTTGTTGGAAGATGAGCCAAAAACTACAAATTTATCCTCTTAAATTTAAGTCAAATTTGTATATAACTGGCAACACAAGAAGTTACACATATGTGCACAAAAGCAGGTACTGCTTTTAAATGACAGATGGAAAATTTTTTAAATGGAAAAAAATGCTTCTACAATTTCTCAGTAATCCAGTAGTGGACATAACCATTTGGCATATAACATTCAGAAATAACACCAAAAATCGTCATCTTTTTATTCATAAAAAATTTTTTAAAAAAAAGTATGTTAAAACAATGGATATGTAACAACTTATAAGCGCATACAATAACAAAAGTACAAGAGAAAATTGAAGTGAAGAAATCTTTTATCAAAAAATCATTATATCTGATGCATTACTGCACAAGTTTATATGTTGATTTAAAATCCGAAAAACAAATATGAATTACCTTATGCCTTTGAAACAGTCTGGAGAACAAAACAAATTTACAATTGCATATTTTCGTATTCAAAGTTATCCCAAATTTACATTACCAACCCATCTATGTAAAAGAAATTTTCATAACTTTTAGTTTCTTAGCCTTTTTATCCAAATATGACTTAAAGTCTAATAGTTTATTTTTACGGGGATTATTTTAATGTTTCTAGCAACGCTAAACAACTGGACGACTTAAAGTTGAATAACGTATGAAATAAACACCTTCAGACCAGCCTAACCGATTATCCAGAAAACAGAAATTCCAATTCCAACCGTCATCAAATCACTGACCTCTCTTGTCAAACCAACTTTAACGCCACTAGCTGTTCAAAAGTAAACGTCGTTTTTCAGGTTTTTCCACCTTTACGATATTTTGATGTATTTGGGTAAGGATAAGATTATATTATTATACTTCGCTGAGAATTTCATAACCATTAAGTCCGATCTCGCACCATGTTTTATTTTCAAAAAAATAACATCGTGATATCATTCTTACTATTTTCAGTAAGATTCAAAAGTTGGAATTTGAATAATTTCAGTTTAGACTTACGCCAGTATTTTATAGATGTTCCATTTTTTTACACCATTTCTGATTTCTACTAAATATATTTCATACTACACTAACCGGTCAGGGAAGGAAACTATTACCTAACTGAAGAACAATAATCCTATTGAACTTACTCATACCAGAATTATCAACCATGATTTACGTTTGTTAACTTCTACTTGGCCCTTCATAGTTTCCTCCTTCCTTATTCATTAGCAAAAAATATCTTCTTGGATTTTTTGGTCCAGAGACCAGAGGAGTCAGAAACGACTTGCTAAATTACTACTTAATAAGTAGCACAAGCACTACTACCCACTTCCCCTCCTATCCACCCAGAAAACAACCCACTACCTGCATTATTACCTTCGCACACCGATATGCAGACAAATGGCCAAACTCCACCACTTCCGCACAAAAGCAGACCGAATATTAAAGAAGGTTCAGACAGAATGCCGCGCTATGCAGCAAGTGAAATCACTAATGGATTTTTGTTTCGTCCCAATGCGCATTGGAGCATATACACATGTCATAATGCATGTTGGGCCCATTAGCTTGTTCCCGTCAACTAAAGACATCTAAGTAAGTGACTTGAACAATCAAATGTGGTATGTCTAACCTCAGTAATTCAGGTGAATTGCATGGCGTTGTTCGTTCGCAACAGATGCTTCCTTCATTGATAACGGATTAAAATCTGCCAGGAAATTTCTGAATTATCAAGGAAAGGAATAATTGAGTCTTTCCGTTCTTATACTCTCCAAGCCATTTCAGGTGAAGTTGTCGAAGATTACGACTAATACTCTGTGAACGTAATTTACACTGGCTTGCACAATGATCACTGAGTAGATCAGTTTCTTTTAATGACTGTTTTTCGCTTTTAAGAACATTCGAATTAGGAAAAGATGAGTTAACATACTTCTGGATTGAATGGAGGTGCATCTAATAAGAAATGTAAAATCCCAAGTGGCAGTTTAGGAAGGAAGCGAAAGTAATTCAGTTTGCATTAGATCACAAATATACAATGCAGTTTATATTAAATTTTCATTTTGTAAATATGAGATTAATTTATAAGGTAAATAATCAGCCTTAAACGATACTCTTATTTTGTTAGTTTTTATCGGTTTGAAGAAAATCGAGAATTAAGGAGTTCATAATCAAAATTAAATTGATCTATCAGTAGCAATAATTCAGAAAGAAAGTATACTGACAAATTATTCTATAAAATAAGTGTTGACTCTTACGGATGTTATCGTTAGAGGAAAAACAGTTCGTATAGGAAAGGAATTTTTTATTAAAGTTCGATGTTATGGGGCATTGCATAAGCCATATTGGAAGTGCTGAGAATGTTAATGCTTGATGTTGTAGCTGAAAGGTCTCTCTTTTTGTGCGACATCAAATGTGTCTTCTAGTTGAAAAAGTAGGAACGATGAGTCTTAAAAATTATGCAATCAAAAGAAAACGACAAGAAAGCAGATTATTCTAATTTGAATAGTAAAGTAATAAAAGTATGTACATAATAGGATAAATCAAGTGAAATAGAAGTTAGATATGATTAGGTATGAAGTCAGGTATGGAATGCATTTTTTCATACGACATTTGTAAAAAGTTTGTAGTTTGGTATAGTCCTTTGAAAACAACTTATACCAACTATAAATTCCGGTATTACTCATTGACACATCTCACAATGCTTTAAAGTTTTATGTATCTTTTGTGAGTACGATATAGTGTGTACGATTTTATTCTACTCAATCTTGTGGCAGCAGCATTGAGCAGGCAGTAACAATTATTAAACTTACTATTGCTGCCAAAACTTCCAACAATTAAAATATTTAGATTTGGTACTATCCTAATATTCACAATCATAGCAAAGTATTTTTATAATCGTACCAAATTCGGTAGTAGCATTATAAACTGTTAACAGCAACTAAAAATAAATGGTCCAAAAGAACATTACTGTTTCTTTATGAAACCTACATAGCAAAAACTCAAAAATGTAAAGAAGCAATCAAGAAATTCGAGTTTTCAACCAGTACTCTTAATTCCACTGTTGCACTATTCAAAACACGCCAAGACACATTTTAGAGGCTCACTCTTTACTCTGCTCGTTTGGATTTGGTCTTACCTTAATTTTGCCCATTAAATCATCGAAAGCCGAGTCCAAAATATCGTCTGCCTCATCTTTCACTTCCATAACATCTTTTACTTCCGGTACATAAAACTGTAGCATGTTTTTGATACCAGACTGAAGTGTCACCGATGAACTTGGACATCCCGTACACGACCCCTGGAAAGTATTACTAGAACTGGAACTAAATGATTTTAACTGCCATTTTAAAGGAAGGGAAAGTATATTTAATGTTGGAAATGAAATCAAATTCGTAAGAGCTGAAAATACGAGCATAAAAACAGCAACAAATAGCAAAGTCAAACAAAAGAATTCTTCACAGGAACTCTCAACTTCCTGTAATCTCAACCTGCATTTTAAGATGCACTACACCATCGAGAAAACCTTTGTATATCACATCACCGCCATCTTCTTGTACCATTGGTTTTATACGGCATTCCAGCAATTCCTTGATCATTGCCACTGTATCACTATCCTCCGGATGTATTTCTTAAATATCGGGAGGTGAAATAAAAAATCAAACCGCGTAAGTTCGAAATGAACGCTTCCTTCTTTCCTTACCACAGAAACACTACATTAAGAAATCCTTAAAAACCCACCAGTATCCTCAGGACCTTTCAGCATTTCACTTTCATTTATGATTGGTTTCTCGGATTGCAGATAATCCATAAGCACTGCGAAAATTTCAGGTTTTAAGAGTGTCCAATCATCAATCTCCCTTTGTTTTGTAATGGTAACATAATCCTCACCAAAGAAAACGCTTTTTATGCCATTAATTCGAAACAGTTCCCTATAAAAAAGAAAATATTTTCCAAAACGAAAGTAATCCATTTTTTATTGGATTACTGTATGTTTAACATAAGTTTTGAATAAAATACTAAAGAACCATGAAATTGTATTTTTTTTTTTTTAATTCAAGAGTAAGGAGGGTAGCATCTACAATGATAAATCTGTAAGCAGAAATGTTCTCGAAATTGAGATTTAATATGGAATCGGAGGATATGGAAGCTTACATGGCCAACGGACTTCTCTTTGCAGACATGAAGTTACCGAAATCAAGCGTTCCTTTACCTTTTCCCATAATCATTTTACCCGGAATAAATTTAAGAGTTGCTGGATTAGGAGTTTCCTGCACCTGGATAAACATATTTCGAACTGTAATTTTAACTCTTTAATGACTGAAAAGTATGAAAAGAAAGTAAACAATGAATTGTTCATTATTTCAAAAAGTGAAAAATGTTTCAGCTTATTTTTCTAGAGACTCTGGAAAGAAGTCAGATGATATTAATCCTAGTTTACGTCAATTCCCCAGTCAGTCGTAAGACTAGACTTCACTGAAATTTACTTCGTTGAATTAATGATGTGGATGGTGAAACATCTAGCAAACATCGATTTTTGTTAACAATTTGAAATAAATGTTGATCCCACATTTTCACAAAACACTTCATGCAGGCTTTTCAATAGCTAATAAACCGGTACCAATCCAGCGTCAATATAAGCTCTGAAAATATGTATCATTGTTTCATCATACCAGCTTTCAGCCTTTTTAATCCCAAAATCAAGAATCCAGCAGGGAAAAAATAAAGGACCTTCACTTTAGCCTCACGTCATAGTAAGATGTCCAGCTGAAGCGCACTAACAACTGAGCACTTAACTCGATTCTTATTTAAGCGTCAATTTTCATCATTGAAAGTGCCTTAAAGTAAACGTTAACAGTCGTCACTTTTCACTTCATAAGATATTGAAGCTTCCGGATTCTCAAGCTCTAACTCAGTCATTTTACCATCTATTATATTTACTTTTTATTTCATTATGTAATTGCGTCCATTTATAAACCATTGAAAACTGACTCCCTTCCTATCGTGTGTAAAACCAAAAATGAGAAGGAAGTGAGAATGTATAGATATAAATACAGCAAATTCAACACTTGCTTTCTTAGAAAAAAAATTTCTTTAATTTGAAAGTTACGAATAAAACAGGCAGATATTAAAAGGGTTATAACGGAAGTCAATTTCGAACAATAGCTTACAGTTGCGAAAATGAGTTTAATGGCATTAAGCATAAACATCTTAAGGATGTAAAACAAATTTATGTCAGTGTAAAGAACAACAAATAGAACAAGCAGCTGCCAACGACATTTCTATCAGTAAAATTATAGATTACTATGTTGGAAGGAAGAGTAAAACAATATAATCGAAAGGAAAAAGAAAGGGAAACAGAGATCACATGAATATTTCAAAAGAAAAATTGAAATCTTACGCAAAATTTAGAAAGTTAAGAATTAAACTGGTCGTTGTAAAATAGTCTCCCAACATCTCTGAAATCAAGGGCTGAGGATAATCAAATATACCGGAGGTAGGTGGCAGCGACTGAACAACAGAATAAGGTCACTGCCTTCATTTATTCCACACCAAGAAGTTCAACATCAAAAATCAAAGTTGAATTTGGTGGTATAGCGCCTGGAATTCCTCGGCTACCATAACCAAGATCTGATGAAACCGTCAACTTCGCACGTTGGCCAACAGACATCTGTAAATTATGTTTTTAAGCTTGACCATTATTGTCTTACCAATTTGTTCAAAATTTATTAGTTGTCGACGAATAAAATTTGAATGAAACTGCAATAATTAATTCGAAAATGTCTGAGAAAAAAACCTTTGCAACACCCTCGTCCCATCCTTTGATGACTTCACCTGCGCCGATCTTGAATTTGAATGGCTTGCCACGTGAACGTGAACTGTCTACCTAAAAGCAGTTTCACTTAAGCAAAAACAAACAAGAAACAAGACCTTAAGTAAAAGAAATATGCCGTAATTATTGGAGTAATTATTGGAAAATTTACCTCTTCACCATTTTCTAACGTCAATACATAGTGACAGGTTACAGTTTGTCCCGTTTTCGGGAATGTTTGACCTGAAAATACTGAAGATCTATGAAGACATCTCATTCTTGGTTAAATATTTCATTATTGCACTACATAAAAACATAAAAGGATATGCACTCCGTATATTTCAAATAACTCAAGAAAATATTGGCTAGCACCCACTATCAAAGACCAGATATTTCTAAAAATTGAACACAACGTTAGAGAGGCGAGTGAAGAAAATCAAATTATGAAACTATGATTAATATTTGCGATCAAATGTGGAGCAATAAACCAACCGTCCCCTTCTTTGTTGGTATCGATTTTCACCGGCATTCTGAACTCGGACACTCTGTAAAATATGGGCGTAAATTCACGACTACTATGTTGGATAATTCGCATAAAGTCGGGAAAAAATGAATGCTATGAATGAAATCCATTTGACTGAACGAAATTAAACCTACACCCAGACTATTCTGAAGAACACGCAGTAACAAATCCAAATGCTCCCTTCCACTTCCAACAGTGACGCGCAGCGGAAATGACAGGAAAGACATAGAACACAGATACTAGTTTTGTGTTCTACACAGGATAGGTGAAAGAAAAAGAGTGCACGAGTCAACGTTTTGCAAAGTCAGAGCAAATATGATATCTAAAATGTAAGAGAAAGACTGAGAGCTGCTGGAAAGCGTACTTCCCATCCATAGGAAGGAAGGAGTACAGAACACTTTTACAACAAACAACCAAATAAGACTGTGGACAATCCCCTTAACAATTAAAATGACCTCACTAACATCTTAGCATTTTCATTTAGAGATACTTTCCTTAAATTAGAAGACAAGAAATACGCGACCAACCTATTTACCGCCTCTGACACAATCCAGCTTATTTCACCTAAGAGATGATGTTAGTAAAGGTAAATACCAATAAGTCAGCCAGATTCAAAAGCCTACTTAATGTAAACCCTTTCGATATATAATCACTCTACAGAGGGAATGGCTAAGCAAGAGCAGCTCAGTTTTTGACAGCCTAACACTAAAATGTAATTGGAAACCACGAAAATACAAACATTACTCAGCATTCGATTCGTATTACTTTCTGCTAACTTCGGACTGTTAAATGTTAATAGTCCTCCAGCTAATTCCAATCCTTTCTCGGGACCAAATATATAAGGATTAGGTACAGCATTCAACTACTCTAAACTTCGAGAATGAACAGATTATTTTCATAAATTATGCACCAAAGACACTGTTAAACTGCAAATGTTTTCATAAGAATTCAACAACTACTGGTTTAAAAAATTTCCAGATCCTACCGAGACGTTTCACCTCGAAAAAACGAGTTTGCTCATCAAAATTAAATTAATCGGAAATTTATTTAAGAAAATATAAGTCAGGTTTATACAATGATAACATAATCTTGAAAGCGTAGCAAAGGCACTGGCAATACAATGAGATCACCGCTATCCAAAGCTAACACCGCATCATGAAATCAGGGACCGATGATAATCACTCGAACGCAGAATCAGTGGTCCTGAAATATACTTAACATTAATATCATACTTCATTTTATTTTTTTTTTTTTGGAAAATGGCGGAAGTTGTAGTGAGTATCACTTCTGTTATATTTTGGATTTAATCTCTGGTGAAAGTTAGATTTCGCTTAAGTCTTACCTTAAAATTCCACAAGTATCCGAAGAAAAACTTAACCAGATATAATTAAATAACCGACTTACATCCATGTTTTCGGTTTTTTAACAATTTTTCTTCCTTGTTCGTTAAATGTTGCATTATATTCATTTTATAATAGAATTTGAGAATTGTTGTTACTTTTAATAAAATTACCATAGATCATAACACCCTCCTCACTTAAGCTAATCTCCGTCTAACTAGTGAAAGAGCTATATAGTCAGCAAATTTAACTGTTTTCTCTATTCCTAGACCTTAAGCATATTCTCTGATTTTTAGAATCAAAGCCAAACAAAAGTACACCAACAAGTAACACAAACTCCCCACCAAAATCAATTATATAGATGAAATAATCAGCATTTTCTGCGTTTAAGTATATGATTAAATTATTTAAATAGCACAGCTCTAAATATACGCTTCTTGTGCACTTACGTAAAATCTAAGATTTCACAAGAAGATACATACTGCAGTGCTGCTCACCAAATATCAATTATTAAATAAAGCTTGTTGAAAGCTGGTGAAAATAGGATTTTCCCTTCCTTTTGTAGCAAGATTTTTTGCAGAAGACTTTGGAAGTAAAAATTTTGTGATCACTTCCAAAATCTCATTAGTATCATCCTCTCCCTGTAATATTTAGAACTACTACTACTTCTATCTATATTCTTGACAGATTTTTTTTCCAAAAATTTAAACAAAGTAGTTCGCATATTAAACCGAAATTAGCATATCATTATTGATTTAATGTTAGACAAAATCCCACATTAACAAAACAATATTTTACTGGTGGATTCGAGCAATATAATTGTAAACAAATTTTAACACTGAGAGAAGCTGCGGATGGGCTGCTATATTTAATGATTCCTTCTTAAACCTAATATCTTAATTGCTGAGGTAAAGTAAATCTAGGTGAACTATTATCTTTAAGAATATGGCCACCAAAGTCAAGGATGGCCTCCATTTTTTATAAACAATGCAGGAAAAAAAAATGAAAAAAGAAAAAAAGAGCTTTAATATCGGAGAGAAAATATTACGCATGCCGCACACACAGATTTTCAATTATTTAAGCCTATGCAGCACCACCCGCAACCGATATTATTAGATAACGACTAAGTTCTAGAAAAATGAATATTACCACTTAAAAAAAGACAAAAAAGCAAAAATAATACTTAACACTGAAAATTTAAAAATTTAACACTGAAAAATTTAATCTGTGTTTTTTAAAAATTTGCAGATCTCAGCGTGACCATCCAATTTTTCTTTCTCATTCATCACTTTCATTTGAGAGTTTAATTTGAAGATTGCCGATTATTTAAGTTTAGCTTTTATGTTTGAGTGAGGAAGCTCGATACCACCTGTAAGATAAATTATATTTCATCGTATTGATTATATATATATATATATATATATATATATATATATATATATATATATATATATGCTTTACCTCCTGACAGTGTTCAAACAGCTTGCTTATTATATGATATTGCAGTTTTTTAATGAAGATTAACACTTTTCAATAACTGTTAAATAACCCAATGAAAGTCAAAATAAAAATAACAGAGATTAAATTGACTGGATGAGAGAAAGATAAGAATTACACGTCATAATCAAGATAACATCAAAAGCAAGCTGACAAGAACAAATATTTCAAGAACAAAATTTTTAGAAAAACTCGAAGTCACCTTTGTTACCAGTTTAATTTTGCCACTCCCACCAGACCGTTAGAAACCCATTTAAAAAAAATACAACTAACCATATTTGTATTGTTACAAAATGCGATGATTTGCTGAGATCCGTAGATCAAAAATTGGAGGGGAATTGAGGAAGAGCCCAAAAAAAGTGGCTAAAAACATTTTTAATTTGGAATTGTGGGATTATTGAAGACATGGGTTATTCAAGACTGCATTCAATATGGACGATACCTAAAACAAAAAATGATGAAAACCTAGTAAATGTGGTAGTAATAGGGCAATGCTTAGTTATTTCGGAACAAAAAAATATTTATGCTTACCCTCCACGATCACCACCCCCTCGAACGCCTCTGTAAGCACCACGTTGCATTCCTCCTCGATCACCACCACGTCCACGGAAACCGCCACGTTCTCCGCCTCGACCACCACGGAAACCTCCTCTCCCCCCTCGCATTGCTCCACCACCTGGCTGATCGTCACTCCCATCTTCTCCACCATCAGCTATAAGGAGAAATTTTAGGAAAGAATCACTGATCACTAAGCTCGGGAATCTAATCAACATCTTATTTAAAAAACCATCCGGAGACTCATTTAAAACCTTACCTTTCTCACCGCCATCGCCTGCTCCTCCTCCTTGATTGCTCATTTTGTCAAAAGTTTCATCTCGTGTCTGAAGATTAGTTTTAGTTTTTTCTTTTTTTTTACATACTAATTAAATAAAAAAATTGCACATACTAATTAAAACAAGCTCACACTAGTGTACGAAACATCCGCAGTTTAACTGATGTACCAATTAAGCTAGCGTTTTGACTATTTAAAAGTACAACTTCGTCGGCAAAACTAATAAAACAAACTAATAAACCTGCCAAGAAGCAATTAACTAAACTACCCATAGTACTGATCGGACTGCAGATTAAGCCAGCATCTTACAGAAATTAAAAGTCGGATTTTGGCAACCAAAGCATTCAAGCCCATTGAAAACACCAATATTATAAGAATTTCGTAGAACAAACAAAGCAGTTGAAGAAAAAAAAGGACTGAAGAACCTACTGGTTGCAAAGTACCAGAAAGCTGTTCTAAAACGCCTGCTATCCGCTGATATGCAACATGTGCTGGCGCAATTGTTTCTACTTTTACATGAAGTGGCCCACCATAATGAGCATATTGCGGATCTCCACTTTGCAATAATTCTTGTTCCTGTTCAAAAAGAAAATTTGACCGATTTTTATCTTCTTAGGTGAATTCCAATCAGGGGAAGTGCTTAATAACAGTGGTCTTTGATTCTTTCGCTGGTCATTATTTTGTCATGGTGGACACAAACAAAATAAACAATACTTTGGCTCGATCTTTAGTGGAACCACGTCCAAGTACATAAATGTGACACTTGAACTGTTTCGCCATAGCCTGCAACGTTGCTCCTTTTGGCCCCAAAATTTTACCAACAAAGTTGAAATGCGGGTGCCTGAAGTTGGGAATCAGGACCTGAAAGAGGAAGTCTTTATTTAAAGAATGCTTTAAATATTAATCTTATAATTCAGTTTCGTCTCCGGCCTTAATGATACATTTAAAATAATACAGTACTGGTGACAAGAACAGCAATCTACATTGGCGGATAAATTAAAAAGAAAACCTTTTTCGAGACTTTAATTGGTTTAGCGATATCAACTTCGAGCCATTCTGGATCAATGGAATTTTCCAATTTATCTGCTTCAGCAGCTAGTAGTCGTTTTGCATTTTTGAACTGTTCACCCCATTCGCCGCCTTGTTCCATCAGTTGCTGCTCATTGTGTATTTCACGAATCACGACCTGGAAACTATTCAATACTGGAATTTCCAAATATTCGCTGCCTTCTGTTATAGGAAATATCAGCAACAAAGCAAGAGATCTGTGTTGTGGAATGACTTGAACAATTACTTAGCTCCAATCGACTTTCGGATCACCTTGAAGTTCAAAGTAA